AGTGGTTTGCTTCTAATCAAACCTTTCACTCCCAGATCACATTATCAATTCTCCTTACTTACATACAATTCTTATGATGTCAGCTCGGAGAATTTGGTATTGGATCAACTAATAAACTCCAAGCTGAAATTTTCCTTTATTCTCATCATTTGTCTGCTTTTAATTGTATTGATATTGTACAGAGAAATTCTGTCTTGGTCACTCATGGCAGTTATTAGGGGTTAAGAAATGATGGAACAGAGGAAACTTGATGAGGTGCGAAGAAAATATTTCAGAGAGACTGGGTAGGAAGGGGAGGGAAAAGGGGAGGAATAAAATGAATGAGTAAGGAAGAAGGAGGAATTAAGGGGATAAAGAACTGAGGGAGGATGGTGGGGGGAATCAAGATTGATATGCAAGAAAGGGTAGAAAGTGTGAAGAATTGACTGAAGAAGGTCTGAATCAAATGATCTTCTGTATCAGTTGAAAGGAAAATAGGAAGAGATGTGAAGTAACTGTTTAGGAATGGAGAAGGCTTACTACATAATATTGATAAATCTCTGACCAAGTTGGTAACCAGGAAATAAATGGAACCAAGAAGTACTGGTTTCTTTGAAGAGGTAACCTATTGTAGTCTAATAGATGTATTTCTTTCAGACTGATCTTGATGATGGTCACTGTCCTTCTTGGGCGAATCAATTGAGAGGCCTTTACAACATCTTTCAGTTTGTACATGGCAACCTTAGGGGTTAGTTAATATAACTTGATTATACACTTCATTAGCGTAAGTTAAGATTTTGATGTCCACTTTCTATCTTTTCTTTTTTGCTTTGGTCATATTGTACTATTTTGGAAGTCTTATTCAATATAGGGCAACACATGTACACAGCTGTCTTGATGTGCAGTCATTGATTACACGATGCGATTTATACTCTTAGAAGTAATGATAAAATCCTCCAAAAGTTAATGAATGTTCGATGATTATGCAACTACCATTATAATTATTGGTGTATGCTTGAAAATTCCCCCCCTTTTTGGGGTGCACCCCTCTCAGGGAACTCCCTGGTTATTGAACTTTTGAAGACTGATTGGTTCAAATTCTTGTTTCCCAGGGCCAAGATTGTGTTCAAATGCCCACCCAAGGACCAGATTTGATTGTCAATTTTTTGCAAAGGGAAAGAGTTATGACCATGACTTTCTTGTAGACCTTTTCTTGAGAGCCTATGATCTGCTTGCAAAAGTGAACTTTGTACCTTTAACCCTTAAACTCCCAAGATCTGATTGTGCATTCTCCCCTCTAGCTGCTACACATTTCCTTGTAAATTAGTTACGAGATTTGGTGTTAAATCAAGGTACCGGTAACAACTTCTACCTGATAAGTTTTAATATTCTCATTACCTGTTTGCTATATTGTGTATGGATATCAAATGAGAGAAGTTGCATGTTAATCACTTGTGGGAGTTGAAGGGTTAATAACTCAAAATTAAAAGACAAAACATCCACTGGAAAGACTGGACAGTTCTGGTTCAAATTCTCCACCCCACCCAGACAAGGTTTAAATTCTTCCCTGACCCCCCCAGGCATGGGCAATTGTCAAATGCTTGTGGGTTGTCCTTGGGAGGGGAGCGGGGGATGTTAAAGTTTTAAATTGATCAGCTGCTGTTCAAGAAAGGAGAACATGCACTTGAGCTCTGCCTTGAGGAGTTCCTCCTAATGTTAAGGGTCAAAATCATGAGAGAGTAGCAGAAGTGAAGCCTACGGATGAAAGGATTTGGAATTCTCTTTTTTTTTTTCATGTTGTGGGTATTTACCATTCTTCCAATTAAGTGAATTTTAACACATTTATCTGTGGTTTGTTATAATCATTTCCTTTACATATACAGAGTACAGATTATTTTACTTACCAGATGTTAATTGTTGAAATATTTTTTTAAAAGGAGTTCCAGTGATGTCTGATGCTCCAGTAATCATGTTTCGACCAAGAGCATGGAACATGTTTGAATTTAATATGATGGTGAAGACTAATATCATGACTGCACCCTTCCATGGCATGCAAGTTCTGAAGCTCAAAGTTGATCAATATATGATGAAGATAACTGTCAACCTCTGAAGAGATTTTCCATAGATCACATCTCCCCCTTTTTCTCTTATCTTTTTTTTACCAATTTTTTTTTCCCACTTTTGATTTTTTCTTTCTCCAATATTAGAAGCAACTAATGTGGATGTACACAATGAATTAAAAAATCATAAAAAGACAGAAATCCAGAGACCCCCTTTTAAGGAAAATTTAAGGAAAGTTACTTTATTTAGTGGGTTTATTTAGTTTATTTTACTTTATTTAAACAACCTGTTCAGGAGACTAGGTGTTGCTTTGTATCAAGTAGTGTGGACATGATCCTTGACCCTCAAAAGACATGTTGTGAACTGAAGACATTCTATTCTTGAGCCTTTCTGCTCTTCTGATGTTGCACTTATCAATGCAAGGTATGGCAATCCTTGCCGAATATCTTGCACTTGGGATATGCAATAAGTCTGTAATAATTCTTTGTAGGTTGGAGGAAAGGTGGTTCCTGGTCCACTGTTTGATTTTGGTCTTCACATGTTCCACAACAGCAAACTTCTGATGAAGGATGGAAATGGTCCTTTCTTCTACTTGCCCAAGGTAATCTATTGTTTTTTTGGTCGAGAAAGATTGCGCACCTTTATAGGCAACCTCCACCGAACATGTCCTCTCACCCCCTATGGCAGGAAAGGACTTCCTTGCCCTTCTGCCCTTACCCTTGTGAAAAGTAATGATTTAGTGCTTTTGTTGTCGCATTTTCATTCTAACATTTCTTATTATTTTATCCGCTACATTGGCGTTGTGACGGACAGGAGAGCTGTGTCTTTTCTGATAAGTTGCTCCCAGTATCTTTCATGGAGCATGGCGTACTTTAGTTGTCGTATAGATGTTTAACAATAACACAAGTACAATTTGCTCAGTAAAGAAGAGCTTGAAAAGTGCTCCCTCGAAATATGGATTCAGCCAACGTATTTACATGCCTGTTTCCACCCAATTCAGCTCATATGATGTTTCATTTTGGAAGTTATAAGTAAAAGTAATTTTCTATTCTCATACACTTTCATTCACTGAAATGTTCGCTCATTGCCCATCGACACACAACCAACCTGTCTGAGTGCTTTAAGCCCAACCAAGTTTCTCAGGATAACATGCCGTGGACTAAGGTATCCCGGCCTGCGGGGGAAAAGTGGTTAAATTCTAGTTGTAGAGTGTACAGGTTGGCCGGTTGGCCACATAGTACATCTTAGTGACTGAGTGTTTTCTTCTCAATTTTAGCTTGAAGGATCCAATGAAGTGAAGCTGTGGAATGATATTTTTGTTTGGACTCAACAAAGGGTAACGTGCGTAAAAATAGATAAATGTCCGCGTTTAGTCAGGCGCTCGTATTAAATGGAAGGTCTAGGCCTTTTGATATGCTGGAGAAAAGTGTATAAAAAATTGAGCCTTCCACTCACTGTGTGTGGAAATATTTGGACACGCGTGCTGTTAAGAGCCTCAGCGGTGATTTGTGAACGAACACAAACGACCCCGAATTTAAACTAAGGTCTCCTGGGGGGTCTGAATAATAAAAAAAAAGGCAAGACAAAAAAAGGTGGAAGTAGAAAAGAAAATATAAAGTCGTGAAATAAAGATGATTCTATGGAAAGTGCGCACGAACTATTTTTATTCACGAGTTCCGATGCATAAACGAAAACGAGTGAGTTTTTTTAATGTATCATTTTTGAGGTCATGACTAAAGAATGTAAATGAACTAGCTCACCAGCGTGCATGATGCTTACTTGGTATGGCATGCAGTTGTGAATCCGGAGTTAGCTTGATTAAAATTCTATCGACTTTTAGTTGCTCCCTACTCGTCACAAAGTTTTAAAATTTGTTCTTTAAACAAGTTTTTTGTTCTTTTGTTTTTATGTCTTTTCAGCTCGGATTACCGCAAGGTTCTATAAAGGCCAGTGTTCTGATAGAAAGTATCTTTTGTTCGTTTGAACTTGATCAAATCCTGTATGAATTGCAGCATCACTCCGCTGGTCTGAACTGCGGCATGTGGGATTACTCCGCTTCTTTAGTTAGCAACTTTGGTAAGTGAAAGTGGCAACTCTGCTGAACTTTGGAAAACACTTAACGAAGTCACATCTCGCAAACATTTTTCTCCTTTGTCGTGTATTGAATCTGACGGAGTTGTTACCTCTGACCCCAAAACGATTGCTGAGATTTTAAACGACCACCTCTCTACTGTTGGCTCAAAGCTCGCGGCCAAATTCTTTCCCGGCATGAAATCCTTTCTTCATGGCTCTTCAAATGTCAATAACAATATAAACAAGTTTAAACTTAACCCTTTTGATGTGCAGTTTACTTTAAAGCAGCTTTCCGGCCCTACTGAAAACTAACAAAGCTATTGGCTTGGATCGGATAAGTGCTCGCTTACTCAAAGATTCCGCCCCCGTCATAGCTGATAGCTTAACTCTTCTATTCAATCGTTCTTTGGACTCTGGCAATTTCCTTTCGCTCTGGAGGTGCAGTAAAGTGTCAGCGCTGTTTAAATCTGGTGATCGAGGTGACCCCAACAATTACAGACCAATTTCTATTCTACCAACAATCAGCAAAATCCTTGAGAGAGGTGTTTATGTGCAAGTTTACAAATACCTAATGGATAATGACATCCTCACTCAGAAACAATTTGGTTTCCGCCCGATGAAGTCTACTAATGCCGCACTTGCTCACTTTTGCGACACTGTATTGGGTAATATGGATGAAGTATCTCTCACCGGCGCGGTCTTTCTGGACCTGGCTAAAGCATTTGACACTGTTGACCATCAGCGACTCCTTCTGAAACTCTACTCGATTGGGTTTTCCAATCACTCAGTCGAGTGGTTTAAGTCGTACCTGGAAAACCGTTGCTAAGTTACCGCTGTTAGAAATGCTCGTTCTTCTAGTAAGCCGGTACCTGTTGGTGTCCCGCAAGGAAGCATCCTCGGACCTTTGTTGTTTCTTCTTTATGTTAATGATTTACCATCTTGTTTACGTGAATGTGACTTAACGTTACTTGCTGACGATACCGTTATTTATGTTTCAGCGAAGGATGCTGCTACCCTTGAGGTCCGGCTAAATGCCGATCTACATTTTAATAGCAAGTGGTTTTTTGACAATCTCCTTACCCTCAATGAAAGCAAATGCAAATTTGTCTTGTTTGGTAGTACCCATAAGCTTAAATCTTTTCAGAATCTTTCTCTTTGCATTAACGACCATAACTTAGAAAGAACTGACTCTTTTAAGTATTTAGGACTTACAATCAGTCAAAATATGACTTGGCAAGATCACGTTTCTTCGGTTGTCAACAAAGTCAATCAACGCCTTGGTGTCCTGAGAAGAGTAAAGCAGATGCTACCACTCCAATCCCGTCTAACTCTCTCCAATAGTCTCATCCTTCCCTTGTTTTATTATGGTGACATTGTTTGGGGTGATAAGAAAAACTCCACTCTCATGGAAAATCTTCAGATTCTTCAAAATAAAGCTGCTAAGATAATTCTTGATCGCCATCCACATGACTCCGCGTCCGAAGCTCTCGGTTTGAAGCCACTGCATCTCAGGCGACGTTTCCATCGTTGTACAACGATCTTCAAGTGTTTGAATGGTCTTATTGACTTTGATTTTAATTTTGTTAGAA